TGTTGCCAAAGGTTTAACTGTGTTTTCGAAACAAAGATCGCAAGTGATGGAAGATGTTGAGAGACTCTTATTGGTGTGGATAAATGAAAAACAGCTAGCAGGAGATAGCGTCTCTCAAGCGATCATATGTGAAAAGGCTAGGAAGTTGCATGACGATTTAATTAAAAAAATGCCTGCAACTAGTGATGATGTGAGTGAATTTAAGGCCAGCAAAGGTTGGTTTGAGAGATTTAAGAAGCGTAGTGGCATCCATAGTGTGATACGGCATGGTGAGGCTGCCAGTTCGGACCACAAAGCGGCTGAAAAATATGTGCATGAATTCAAGGAGTACATAGAAACTGAAGGACTGGAACCTGAACAAGTGTTTAATTGTGATGAAACAGGCCTGTTCTGGAAGAAAATGCCAAGCAGGACCTACATTACTCAGGAGGAAAAGGCACTCCCAGGACATAAGCCTATGAAAGACAGGCTTACTTTGTTGATGTGTGCCAATGCTAGTGGTGATTGCAAAGTTAAGCCTTTATTAGTGTATCACTCTGAAACTCCCAGAGCGTTCAGGCAAAAGAATGTCCTCAAGGATAATTTGTGTGTGCTGTGGAGGGCAAACAGTAAGGCATGGGTCACTAGGGAATTTTTCTATAACTGGTTACACCATGCATTTGCCCCCAATGTGAAAGATTACCTAACTGAAAAGAAATTAGACCTTAAGTGCCTCCTGGTGTTAGACAATGCCCCTGGTCATCCTACAGACGTGGCAGAGCGACTTTATGGGGACATGAGCTTCATTAAGGTGAAGTTTTTGCCTCCTAATACCACTCCTCTCCTGCAGCCCATGGACCAGCAGGTCATTTCCAACTTCAAGAAACTGTACACAAAAGCTCTGTTTCAAAAGTGCTTTGAAGTGACCACAGACACTCGATTGACTCTAAAAGAGTTTTGGAAGGATCACTTTAATATCCTCAATTGTGTAAACCTTATAGGTAAGGCTTGGGAGGGAGTGACTAAGAGAACCTTGAACTCTGCTTGGAAGAAACTGTGGCCAGAATGTGTAGACAAAAGGGATTTTGAAGGGTTTGAGGCTAACCCTGAGAGGAGTAGTATACCAGTTGAGGAATCAATTGTGGAATTGGGGAAGTCCTTGGGGTTGGAGGTTAGTGGGGAGGATGTGGAAGAGTTGGTGGAGGGGACAATGAAGAACTAACCACTGATGAGCTGATAGATCAACTTCAAGAGCAAGAGGCCAGACCTGGGGAAACTGGTTCAAAGGAGGGGAGAGAGAAATTGAAGGAATTGCCTACTTCAAAGATTAAGGAAATGTGTGCAAAATGGCTTGAAGTGCAAACCTTTTTTGATGAAAATCACCCTCACACAGCTATTGCAAGCCGTGCTGGTGACTGTTACAATGACACTGTTGTGAACCACTTTAGACAAATCATAAAGGAACGAGAGGTACAGGCCACTATGGACAGATATGTTGTGCGAAAGAAGTCCAGTGACTCTGAAGCTGGTCCTAGTGGCATTAAAAGAAGAAGGGAAGTAACCCCAGAAAAGGACTTGCTACCTCAAGTCCTAATGGAAGGGGATTCCCCTTCTAAACACTAACACTCTCTCTCCCCTCCTCCCATCCCATCAATCATCACCAGATCTTCAATAAAAGTAAGTGTCATGTAATTGTGCATGCCTTTTTCAGTTTGTGTGTACTAAAATTAACATTTTTTTGTGGTAAAAAAAATTTTTTTTCATACTTTTGGGTGTCTTGCACGGATTAATTTTATTTCCATTATTTCTTATGGGGAAAATTAATTCGCATAGCGAACATTTCGCATAACGGCCAGCCCTCTTGCACGGATTAAGTTCGCTATGCGGGGGTCCACTGTATACATTATTTCTTAGGGAAATATTGCTTCGAGTTTAGGCCTAGCTCCTGGAACGGATTACAGCTGAAACTCGGGATTCCACTGTATAGGGTTTGCTACTATCTACGGTAGGTCTTCGAATATATACCCCATGGATACAGGGGGGCTACTGTATTTGTATTAATATCTTAATTATCATAAGATTAATTTAATGCAGCCAACCTTAATAGAAATTCTATGGTGATTTAGATTGGATCAGGTACTGCAGTTATCTAAATTCTAATAATTTTTTAGTGATTGAAATAAATATTCTTATTTTTTTTATAATTAGAAGGTTTCTTGTTTTTGAGAAGATAGTCACATGTTTGGGCTTTCTTGGCATATTGTAACTCTCATAAACTTCTGCTGGTATTTTCTCAGGAGACATGGAAAAAATTTTCTTTCATAGATCTTAGTAATGTGATGATTTGCTCTGTCAGAGTCAAAGATTGATTTCCACATGATACAATGTTTATACAGAGATGAGCGACATTTAGGTGTGCATGCAGAAAGCCCCTTAACCCTTTCAGGGTCAACAGGCCCTCTCAGAGACTTGTTCTCAGGGTCGGCCAAATTTAAAAAAAAAAAAAATTATTTTTTCTTATGAAAAGATAGAGAATCTTTTCCCGATCATAATGACACCAAAAGTATGAAATTTGATGGAAAACTTACGGAATTATGCTCTCACGAAGTTAGCGATCTCGACGATGTTTATGCATCGGCGATTTTGCCCACTTTGTGCCCTATTTTTGGCCAATTCTAGTGTACTTGTCGACAAAAATCATAACTATTTCACTAGAACTCCATTTTTTCTATCGAATGAGTACAAGAAACCACCCATTTACTGATTTCAACTATCCAATACAGTGGTCAGAATTTAGCAATTTTGCCAATTTCACACAAATTTCAAAAGATGCCAATTTCCGAATAGGGTCCAGAATAAACAAGAAAAGCATTCCTGGCTCTAAAATAACATTTCCTCTGTTCATTAGTCATGTCCCCCGGCCCCTCTTACATTCTTTTGCTTTCCACTTTGAATTTTTATTCTCACAAAAAAATAGAAGATTTACTGTTATGCAGACTACTGCATTAGTGTAGAAATGGTATAAATATTATCAGCGCACTTGTGGAAGAATATTAGACTCGCCAGTTGACGTGTATTGGACGCATAGCATGATTTGTTTACTTTTGAACTTTGGTAAAAATCGAACATTTCTGCTACTTTGAGCTCAATTTCAAGGTACTTTCCATTGTAAAACCTGTCAAAATCATCTCAATTTCTGTAATATGTCTTCCATTCCATAAAATGAGACCAGGAAAACTAGAATACAACCGTAAATACCATACAAAAATATAGTGCAATGTCGCTGTTTTAATCCAAAAACAGGGTCAAAGTTTTTTCTTTCTCATTATGCACTGTGTGCTGCAGGATTTTTTTTATACCGCTGGCACTGAACAAGCACCTAAAGTCGGTACCTGACCAGCTGGGCTGTGGCTCGTGCATGGGATTGCATGCAGCCAGCAGTAACAGCCTGGTTGATCAGGCTCTGATCCACCAGGAGGCCTGGTCACAGACCGGGCCGCGGGGGCATTGACCCCCGGAGCTCTCTCCAGGTAAACTTCAGGTAAACACTGACCACATAGACCCATTCTTTCATATGTAGGCCTACCAGCTTTCTCTCACTAGATTTGAGGGCGCTAGAATTTAGGCATACTAGTACATCAAAAACCCTGGTGCGTAAGCCGTACTAGTACGGCCGAAACCCTGAAAGGGTTAATATGCAGAGTATTTCTGGCAAACTTAAGCCTAACTTAAGACTACAATGACAATAATTATTACAGTGGTACCTCAAATTTCGAACAGCTCCCAACTTGAACAGTTATGTAAGTGCTTTTGCAAGTACATTTTTGGGGGTCTGAAACGGACTAATCTAATTTTCATTATTCCTTATGGGAATAAATTTGTTCTGTAACGGCTCTCGAACAGCCTTCTGGAACAAATTATGGTCAAAATTCTAGGTTCACTGTAATTACTTATACAGTGGAAAGTTGGCATTCAAACTTCATTAGTTCCAGAAGGTTGCTCTAGTGCTGATCTGTTCAAGTACAGAACGAATTTTTCCCAATCAATTTTCTTTTTGGTTGGCTGTTATCACTAACCGTCTTAGGCCCCATGGTGACTTGTTTATACGAATAATATAAAAAAAAACAAAAAATGCGAAGAAACACGTAAAAGTTTGCATCAAAGTTCTGGCAGGTTGTGTTTGTTTGGTCAGGTGCCAAGCAAACGGTTGACTACCGAGCAGTTTGTTTACCAAAGCATTCAAATACAGAATTGTTGGAGTACGGAGCTGTTCGAGTACCGAGGTTCCACTGTAAATGCAAACATTCTCTCTCAGTCTGCAGGACATTGAAGGTATACAAACATAAATTTAGGTAGTGCAAACAGAACAAACAAGTGATAACTATTTATTTAAATTTAGTTAGAAAAGAGAATTAATTAAGACAGTTTTAACAGTAATAATAATATAGTAGAACCCCTGTATCTGTGGTTCAGTTATCCACGGTTTACCATGGATCAAAAATGTCCCTTAATCTTGCTTAATAATGGCCCCAGAGTCCAAAAGTAGTGATTCTGGCAGTTCTTCAAAGCCTAAGAGAGCCCATGAAGTGCTTCCCATCAGTGAAAAATGTGCTAATTATTGTGTGGAAGTTATCAATTAAAGTTTGTCATAGGTATGTATGTAAAAAAAAATGAATTATACATGGGGTTTGCTACTATCCACAGTTTTGGGCATCCACAGTAGGTCTTGGAATATATCCCCCGTGGATACAGGGGGACTACTGTACTTTATTATTACATGATAAATAGTTTTTTTTACAAAATTGGTAACATTTAATAGTGCACATGGAAATGCAATGGTTTTGCTAAGAATTTCAGGCAGGCTGAAATCTCCCACAACTTCAGTTATAGATTCATTAAGCTGACAGTTTATTCATCAAATTGTGGTTGCAGGGGTCAAGTCATAGTTCCTGGCCCCCCTATATGTGTTATTCTGTCATGTGCCTCATGAGGAGGTTACACTATTTCTTCTTTTGTTTCAGTCAACAGTAGTGCAGGTTTGTTGATGTCAAGTGCCCTGGACAACACTGTGTTTGATGACACCTCTAGAAGCCGGCCCAGACCCACCGACCTAGCGGATGCTCTCTCCCCTACATTAGATCAGTAAGTGTTCCAAGCTCTTGCTGAGCCCTTCTTGGGCACTGCCTTAATACTGCTGAAGAGCTTTTGATCCATGGAATCTAGAGTTAAACTCCACTGCTTTGGATCAAATTTGATAACCTTACATTCTCCTTTTACTCAGTAATTTTATGGACTTATTGCTCCTCCATGAGTATATTGTTTATTTTTATTTTTAACACATCACCGATTTCCCACCAAGGCAGGGTGGCCCAAAAAAGAAAAACTTTCATCATCATTCACTCCATCACCATCTTCCCAGAGGTGTGCTCACACTACAGTTATAAAACTACAACATTAACACCCCTCCTTCAGAGTGCAGACACTGTACTTCCCATCTCCAGGACTCAAGTCTGGCCTGCCGGTTTCCCTGAATCCCTTCATAAATGTTACCCTGCTCACACTCCAACTTGCTGAAAGTCCAATCCCCTCGCACAGAAAACTTCCTTTACCCCCTCCCTCCAACCCTTCCTAGGCCGACCCCTACCCTGCCTTCCCTCCACTACAGTGAAGGCAGGGTATAATACTACCATAAAAGAACACACAGAAGTATTTTTCAGTGTATCCAAAATAAGCGAAACACAAACAACCCACACACAAAAGGAAGAAACTCAGGACAATGTTTTGGACCAACTTCGATGATTTACTAGCCACACACCAAGTTGGACAAAAACGTCATCATAAGTCTCTTTCTCCTATGTGCTGGTTATTTGTGTATTGTTCCTGTCAATGTATTGTGACTTTTTATTCTTTATAAGAAGTGTGGACTGTGATCTCGCCAGGTACGACAAGATGAGCGAGGCAACAGCCGTGAGGGCATCACCTGAGGTGCCCATCACGGCAGCGCAAGACAAGATGGTGCCGGAGTACCTCAGGTTAGTTACCTACTACACACACACTGTATCAGCCTACCATCCCTCTGCACTCTCTGCTTGAAGAAAATCTGTGTCATTCTCCTGGCCATCTGACAGTTGTACTTCATTTTCTCTCTGTTTTTGAAGAAACTACTAGATATCAAGAATAATAATGAGTAACTTGTATATAATTTCTCCTCTGAGTATAGTTGCTCATTTTGAATTAATCATTTAATATATTGATCATTTTTTATATTACAATAACAGATACTACTTTTTATCTTTAAGTGTGTATTTCATATCTCAAAATTTATTTGTGATGTATCACTACCATTGGTAAGTACAGTGGTAGAGTACTTTCAAAATTTTGTTTCAGAAAAAATTTAATTTTCCTGATAACACAGAATTTTCTTTGAACATGACAAGATAGTATTGTATCCCCCTGTGTTCACTTTCCTTTGATCCCTCTTGTGGGGGCCTGAAGACCATTACTGCTGCATACTTGTGAGTAGTACACCTCGGGTGGTTGACAGTGTATGCGCACCCTGGGTGGCTGACAGTATATGTGCACCTGGTGTATGCTATATATTGTGTACACCTCACTACTTCTAAGCTTGTGCTAGTCACAGAGAGCAGACACTACTGCCTGCTAGAACGTTGCCTTTAACTACCCTCCCCTTTTTTGCCCTCTCTTATTTCTGTTTCTCATTTTTTTTTCATTGCTTGTGATGCATGAGACAGGTGTTATGGCATGTCACACTCCCTGTTTTTTTTCTTCTTCTTTTTTTATAGATTTTATTTTTTTTACTTTTTTTTTTTTTTTGAAATGTGTAGCCAAAATAGCACGACGTGTGATCAGTCTGAGGATTGTTCTACCCTCACTCTCTGATGCCAAGTTTCTTTGTTAGCTGCCTGGTCCACCTGACTCTTGGTGCTAGTGGCCTGCAAACCCACACGGCGTTCACGACATATGAATCAAATTTATTTTCCTGCGCACTTACAAAGCTATGCTATCATTGGATAATGGATAGTGCTGACCCAGGTCACACAGTTAACTAAGCTATACTATCACTGGATAATGGATAGTGTTGACCCAGGTCACACAATTAACTAAGCTATACCATCATGATAATGGATAGTGCTGACCCAGGTCACACAATTAACTAAGCTATACCATCACGATAATGGATAGTGCTGACCCAGGTCACACAATTAACTAAGCTATACCATCATGATAATGGATAGTGCTGACCCAGGTCACACAAATAATTAATCTATACCATCACAACAATGAATAATGCTGATCCAGGTCACACAATTAACTAAACTATACCATCACAATAATGGATAGTGCTGACCCAGGTCACACAATTAACTAAGCTATACTATCACTGGATAATGGATAGTGCTGACCCAGGTCACACAATTAACTAAGCTATACCATCACAATAATGGATAGTGCTGACCCAGGTCACACAATTAACTAAGCTATACTATCACTGGATAATGGATAGTGCTGACCCAGGTCACACAATTAACTAAGCTATACTATCACTGGATAATGGATAGTGCTGACCCAGGTCACACAATTAACTAAGCTATACTATCACTGGATAATGGATAGTGCTGACCCAGGTCACACAATTAACTAAGCTATACCATCACAATAATGGATAGTGCTGACCCAGGTCACACAACTAAGCTATACTATCACTGGATAATGGATAGTGCTGACCCAGGTCACACAATTAACTAAGCTATACCATCACAATAATGGATAGTGCTGACTCAGGTCACACAATTAACAATCTTTAAAATCACATTCAATCTCTACCAGAATTTTGAATCCTGAGTTTTATAATGTTTAAAAATAATTGCCATATTAAGTTAGTGTGGTGGAGATAATTTGGATTTTGGTAAAAGCGTTTTAACGTGTCCACTACATGAAACTCAACACGTCCGTCACTTAGTGCTCAGCATCTTGAGTGGTACTATTAGCCAAGTGTTCCAGTGGTGCTTACTGCTCTAGTGGGAAAATTGGTGTATAGAAAACTAGAAAATAAGAGTCATGCCAAGAATTTTATTGATACATAGAAAACTAGAAAATAAGACAAAATCATGCCTAGAAAATGAGGCAAAAATCATGCCTAGAAAATAAAACAAAATCATGCCTTAGAAAATAAGAAAATCATGCCTAGAAAATAAAACAAAATCATGCCTAGAAAATAAAACAAAATCATGCCTTAGAAAATAAGAAAATCATGCCTAGAAAATAAAACAAAATCATGCCTAGAAAATAAGAAAAAAATGCCTAGAAAATAAAACAAAATCATGCCTAGAAAATAAGAAAATCATGCCTAGAAAATATGACAAACTCATGCCTAGAAAATAAAATCATGCATATAACTTTGTAAAATGGAAGAACATCACATTCTGTTGTGACAGTCACTGAACAGCAAATGACTGTATGAAGCAGACTTACAGTGAGAATTACACAATAGCAATACAGGGAATCTCTTGAGAGCATAGCAACACACTCTGGAGGAATATACATAGGGAGGAATGTTCACACTTGTCAAGGAGTTACATTTCCAGTGGTTCGACTTACTGACAAGTTGTGTGTAATCTGCAACCTGTTTTTCTGTAGAAAACCATATGTAATAATGACTGTTGTGTATCAATACAAGTTTATTCTTGATACATTTTTTGGACTCATTTGTAAGTACACATTGTAATTCTGGCATTCATGCACATAACAGAATTGACATTGTATTGCACAGGAACACAGTCATATATTTTAATCACACTGATCAGCATTTAAGTGAAAATTTACAGAAAACGCACAGAAATTTATATGTAAAAGCCCCCCTCCCTATATGGTTAGCCTTTCCTAGAGATTAAAAATGCTTGTAAATGAAGACTTGTAAATATTGGAAGAATAAAGTGATAGCTTCCCTATACACTGTGTCTTTATCTGTGTTTTATGCAGTTTGGTGTTATAATACATACAGATTACAGTGGACCCCCGCATAACGATTACCTCCGAATGCGACCAATTATGTAAGTGTATTTATGTAAGTGCGTTTGTACGTATATGTTTGGGGGTCTGAAATGGACTAATCTACTTCACAATGTTTCTTATGGGAACAAATTCGGTCAGTACTGGCACCTGAACATACTTCTGGAGTGAAAAAATATCGTTAACCGGGGGTCCACTGTATTAGTTTAGTGAGCTTCAGTATACAGTAATTTTGTGTCATAATTCATGGGGGATTTTTAGGCATAACTCATGAAATCCTGATAACAAGATTGGAACAAGCCATGGAACAGGTGTGGGGTTTGAACTCATGATGGATGAGTGGTAAATCTCCATGGCAGTGTGCAAGCTACTGGGCCAGTTGGTTACAATAAGATTAATATGACTAGGTATATTTATACAACATAGGGAAGTTAGTGTGCCCATGCTAACCTCCCTATGGTGTATACATATATAGTGGTACCCTGAGTTTTGGCCATAATTCATTCCAGAAGGCTGTTCAAGTGTCTTTACTGAACGAATTTGTTCCCATAAGGAATAATGTAAATTAAATTAGTCTGTTTCAGACCCCTAAAAATACACTTACAAAAGCACTTACATATTTGTTCGAATTGGGAGCTGTTTGAAACTCTGGGTACCACTGTACCTAGTTGGATGGATCTTATTGTAGCCAGGTGGCCCAGTGGTTAACACACTGGCCTCGAGTTTTACGACTCACTTCAAACCCCACCCATTCCATAGCTTTTTTGAGGGGGGGACATATGAAGAACATTTTGTATTATAATTTAATGTGATTTCAAGTTGTCAGTAATGTAATGAAGCAGATACAGTGAATTATTAATTATCCAGCTGTCAGTTATTTGACTTCCATCGTAATATTGCAGTGTTGCTTGGTTGGTTACCTAAACGTGTGACATGTAAAAGGAATATGCAGATCAAATGAACTATGGAAATTTGTGATCATAAAGTGTTGCTGAAGACCCAGTGCAGCCTCTCCCATTCCTTAGGGGACAGTGTGTGTTCAGTGATCTACTGTAGTAACATTAAACCCGCCAATTTTTAGGTCAAACCACTGAATGTTTTTAAAACAGCTCAAAGTACACTAAATCCTTGATATAATGGAGCTCAGTATAGTAGACTTTTGAAAAGAACAAGACAAATATCCACTGGGTAAATTGTACTTATAACTCCGATATTTTCAATATTTACTGTGGTAGATTTAATATAGCGCTATATCTGCAATTTATAAGTACAGTAGGGCCCCATTTTACGGCGTTTTGCCTTACGGCATTCCACTAATATGGCAATTTCAAATTATGATCAAAATTTGCTATACAGCAAGCGGTCTTTCAAATACGGCACGCCCCACCCAATTTTTTTACATTCTCCGTAAGCACATCTGTTATGTCTGGAAACTTTCCAAAATTTCAAGTGTTTTAAAGTTATTGCGTATTTTATATGTACTTGATAATTATGCTTATGTGTACCTGTACCTAAATACGTATACGTACTTACACACTGTGCTGGCATGTAGGTACACATTAAAATCACTAAGAGTCTCTCTACTCATGATGCCATAGTAATACGCACTACGTAATAATAATCTCTCTTGGGCACATTAAATGTCTTATTTTACGTTAATATAGACATTTTCGTTAATCCATCTATGATATTTTCTTAAAAATTATGTAAGAAACATGTTACATAGCATATAAACATTATACATACACCCACATAGTAAAAATTGACATAAATATGAGATTTGTTTACAAAGCGACTCTGTAGGAGTGTTGGAAGAATTACATTTTCTCTAGTCAAACACTGGGGGATAACCATAGATAAATATTCCTTTCGTATGCCTTCACTCTATATATAGCAATTCACAATCCTTGTGGGTTTAGTGCTTCTTTATTATGATTATAATAATAATAACTTGCAGTAATAATAACTTGTAATAATAATAACTTGTAATAATAATAATTTG